AATATATATCAATAAGAACTGACAGTCACTTTCATTATTCATACAAATCTCACTCACTTCACAACGAGCATGGCATTGCTGCCGTGATTGTAGGGAGGATTCACTACAGATATGACAGTCCCCGTCATTGTGTCAGAATGGTCAAAGGCTCTTTCTGTAGGCCATCGTAGTTGGAGTGATTGATGTACCTACGGCGATGAATGGCAACCCACCTCTTCGCTCCTTGGTGCATTGGCTGCGGCTGAGCTTACCCAATCGCAAACAGGCGACAACGGTCAGTAGGCGTGTACAAGTAAGTCCGTGACATATTCCGTGACAGAGTTGAGATGATGGCTGACAGCCTTGCTTGGATGATCTCATGACATACCGCATTAGAAGGCTTAGTGGAGTTATAGCTGTATGAAGTTGGTCATTACATTCTCACTCCCGTGCAGCCTGGCAAGTGAGAGGCGACTAAGTGTTCAATAATGCCCCCAACGTTCCGTCCATGCAGCAATACCGGCTTCATTTTGTAGGAGTGTGGGGTGCCGTTGCATCATGAGTTGCAGCGATGGGCGTTGCAACTTATGTCTGACCGCCTCCTCTGTTTGGCGCACGCGTTCGGGCCACCGGTCCAAGACCGCTTTGTAACCAAAATGCAGCTGATCCCCTCTACAAAGTATTTCCGCTCTACTCCAGCTAGCAGCTATCCCCATATAAGATTTAACCAATGCCTCTTACTCGAAAGCATGCAAAAGCTGGCTAAGGCTGCACGACCACTCGCGTAACAGCAGAAGGATCGCCATGAGAATCCAACGCAAGGGTGGAATGCCGCGGGGATCCATGATGAACTGTCTCCAGTCGGTGCTAACCGTCTCCAGGAACTGAGAAATACCCGACAAAGTGGAAAACCGGAAGCGGCTAGAGCAGAAGGCCTTAAGATTATTGATGCGTAAGCGCGTTCCATCGAGAGGCGAGACGCTTGGCGTCCGGCATGCCGTCTACAGCCGCATTCTGGCCCAGCTCTGGTTTGGTGTTTAGCCGCAGGCGACAAAGACGCATTTCATGGAGATTTGTGGGCCATGTGAATTACCTACCTTGAAAGCTGCTAGTTCAAAACTCAACGTCGTACATGCCGCTGAATACAATACCCACATCGCCTCATATAGAGCATCTCCTCAGCAGCTGCACGATTCGGTTGTCTGTTCGCCAATATTTTTTCGTGTCATGCCATCTTCCTGTAGTGAATGCTCAGTACAATCACGGCAAGAATGGCTTGCTCGTTGTGAAATGAGTGAGTGTTGTATGAACAGTGGAAGCGTCTGTGGGTGCTTATTGATGTGCATTGAGCGTAACGTTGGTGAATGCAATAAACATTCTTGATGAAGTGATAATTGATATGACTATAGGAGAGGCTGGCATGAGCCTTGGTGCAAAAGGTATTGCAACATGCTACGCTGTCTCCTCTACCAGCCCCAACAACGCCTGCTCTAGTGGGGTTGCAGGAGAGAGCACAATTCTGGAGAAGAGACTGAGAGAACTAATTATCATACTGAAACAACAACATAGCAAACAAAGGGTAAACGAATTTACCGCCTGGCAGCTCGCTGTACCCAGCTGCGGGGTTCCATGGATGCACCCCACAGTAGTTGTAACGCTAGTTCTCTGGCCTTTATCTGAGCAGAGACGAGCCGCAATGAAGGCAAAGACTTAAAGCAAGAGTTTCCCAAAAGCAGCTGAC